GTGGCACTCCATTGCTTGATGCGGGCCAACAAAAACTAGCACCCGTCGTGTATAGAAGTAAGCGGCGGTTAGAACATTCTTCTCAGATACATGCATCACACACTCTTACTAAACAAACACAGGGACACTTACGGATCGTTCTGGGCTGCGTGTGGCGGGTCCTTTTCCGGGCTTGCGTTGGGAGCCCGGCGATGGGTGAAGCCGGATGATGAGGCCCGGGTAAGTCTGGGTAACCACATCTGATATGGCTGTACGCCTCATGAACAAAAAAGACGTGGTGGGCCGACTAATCTAGGCTTACTACCACTGAGGAGGCTATATGGCGGCACCTTAGTGCCTTACGCCAGCCCGTTTTTTTGGGTTGTCTGCGCGGTCTCGGGACTGTTCACCTGCCGCTTGTCTCGCTGGGATGACTGTTGTATACCAACAAATAAATACATTACACATGAACACCATTCTTACACTAGTTACCCAACGCCAGGGCAGTCTCCGTGGGTGGGACTGAGGGAGAGTGGCGACTCCCGGCCGGCCCGAGCAAGTAGCGGTTTTCTCTGGTAACTGAGAGGGCTGCTGCCCTGGTTTAAACCCTTTTCAAATACTTATTTATAGAAAAAAAGGGTAGTGCTGGCCTTCGCGGGTCAGTACGATATTAAAAAGATGCCAATATGAAAAACGTCGATGCAAAACGAGTACCCCAGGTAACCTATCTGAGGGAATTCGCCGGCAGTTCCAATCCGGTGAAAGCCCGGGTGACTGACGCAGGCCCCACGGATTCTGAAGGGGGGCTACAAAGACGTGTTTCATGGCCAACAGGGACTGCTAAATGTTCCATGGCCTTTTCTTACAGACAAAGGACGAAGAGGAAGTGAGTCGAGTATAGGCACTAACGACACCGAGGTTAGCAACGTGTCGGTATTTAGCCACCAGACTCAGGAAGAGCTTGCCTCTTTAGAAGAAAGTGTCACTAGGTTCGAAGTAAAGCGACAGCAAGTTGCTGATAAAGTCCAATCAGCAACGAATGATGATAAGTACGGCAACACAGCGAACGCTGTTAAAAATGGGCTCAAAGCGGTGCTTAAGCATCTTCAAGAGGCAGAGGTGCTAAGAAAATGATGTCTTACTAAAGAAGATTTGTGTACCAACGCTTGGAAGTGGTCATTTTAATCTCTGCAGTGGAGGGAGAAAAGGCGAGATAATTTCCGACGGCATGTACAGTAACGAACCCTGCACACTGCTTTGAAGGAAATACAACGAAGTAAGAGAAATAGGAGCACTACGGACCGCTCTAAGAAACGCCAGCAGGCTATGTCTTCAAAAAAAAAGAAAATAGGCAGTGGCAAACAAGAAGAAATTTCACTGAATGACAAAACAAGCCAGAAGAAAAAAATTGACGCCACAACAACAGTAGTAGTGAAGATGACCGAAGGGCAGACTTTGGGCTAAAGTCAATGAAGGCGAATTTTTATCCAGACAAGATCAATGCTGCACTCAAAGTGTTGTCACTACAAAAAAAGGAGACATACTTATTAAAGCCAAAGGTGTAGAGAATGCTACTGCATTTTTACAACAAATTGAAAAGTCGGTAGCCGAACAGGGTACTGTCAAAATGAGCGACAGAAAAGTGACATTAGAGGTCCGAGACCTGGATGCTATTGTAGAGGAAGATGAGGTCAAAGAGGCCTTCGCTAGGACTTTTGGACATCAGAGCCAGGAGCCAGAAGTAGCTCTCTTACAGCCAAATGCCAGAGGACAGAGGCTGGCTTTAATAAAGGTGGACGAAGCATCTGCCAGACAAGTAGAAAAGGAAGGCAGGTTACGAATTGGCTTTGTAAGCTGCCGAATTCAAAGAAGAATCGAAGTAACAAGATGTTACAAATGCCTGGGATATGGACACGTGTTGGGCAATTGTGAGGACGAAAACAGATCCAAGCTGTGCTTCCGGTGTGGAAGCTCAAACCACCGGAAGAAAGAGTGTCCAGGCCCATGGAGGACGAAGAGGAAGCCTTACGAGTATAGGCACTAACGACACCAAGGACAGCAACATCTCAGAAGGAGCTTGCCTCTTTAAAATAAAGTATTGCTGTGCTTAGAGTAAAGCGACAGCAAGTTGCTGATAAAGTCAAATCAGAAACAAAAGACATTACAGAGACGCTACAAATGATTTACGATAAGGACGGCAACACAGCGTACGCTGTTGAAAATGGGCTTAAAGCGACGCTCAAGCATCTTTAATAGGCAGAGGTGCTGAGAAAAGGCTGTCTTACTAAAGAAGATATGTTTACCAACGCTTGGAAATCGTCTTACAAATTCCTGCAGTGGAGGGAACAAAGGCGAGATAATTTTTGACGGCATGCACAGAAAAAAAACCCTGAATACTGCCCTAAAGGAAATAGAACGAAGTAAAAGAAACAGGAGCCCATCGGACAGCCCTGAAAAACGCTAGCAGACTATGTTTTCAAAGAAAAAGAAAACAGGTAGTGGCAAACAATAAGAAATTACCCTGAATGAGAAAACAAGCCAAAAGAAAAAAACGTGGTCTCGGGACTGTACACCTGCCGCTCGTCTCGCTGGGATGACCGTTGTGTACCAACAAATACATACATTACACAAAAACACCATTCTTACACTTGTTACTCAACACCAGGGCAGTCTCCGTGGGTGGGACTGAGGGAGAGTGGCGACTCTTGGCCGGCCCGAACAAGTAGCGGTTTTCTCTGGTAACTGAGAGGGCTGCTGCCCTGGTTTTAACCCTTTCCAAATACTTATTTCTAGAAAAAAAGGGTAGTGCCGGCCTTCACGGGTCATACGACACTAAAAAGATGCTACAATGAAAAACGTCGATGTAAAACAAATACCCTAGGCGGTAACCTCTCTGAGGGAATCCGCTGGCAGTTCTGATCCAGTGAAAGCCCGGGTGACTGACGCAAGCCCCACGGATTCAGGGGGGGGGGGGCACAAAGACGTGTCTCATGGCCAACAGGGACTGCTAAATGTTCCATGGCCTTTTCTTACAGACGAAGAACGAAGAGAAAGCCTGTAGAGTATCGGCACTAACGACACCGAGGTTAGCATTGTACTACTGCTACTACTACCACTACTTCGCCTCCACGTTGAGCGTTGCTTCAGGTGCTTGGGCTTCGGGCACATTGCAAGGCAGTGTGTCGGACCTGACAGGACCGGGGCGTGCTGGAGGTGCGGTGAAAAGGGATACGTGGCACGAAACTGCTCCAAAAAAGAAGTAAGCTGTTTTCTGTGCGAAAACGTTGTCTCGAAACTGGACACCAGACATGTCGCTGGGACTGCCAGGTGTCGGGCACTTTAGGCGCCTGCAGGGACGGTTCAACGGAAATGGCAGTAATTCTGTAGGTAAACCTCGATAGGACCGTGCTCGCGCACAATCTGCTGGACCAGTTCTCTCGTGCCCGGGGTGTGGATATGCTCTTTATAGATTAGCCATCCCACACGTTACCGGGCCGAGGCTGGTACTGCGACAGGACGAAAGGCGCGGCCATCCTGATTTGCAGCGACAAGTTCTCCGTATCTGATACCGGGGGTGGAGACGGGTTCGTGTGGATCAGGTAAGGCAGGGCTTACTTTGTGAGTTGCTACATATCCCCTAACATTTTGATTGGTGTCTTTAGAGAATGGTTTGCCGATCTCGAGGATGCCGTTCAAGTGTGCAGGTAAAGTGGTGATGAAGTCCTGGCCGGTGACTTTAACTCCAAGGCCATCACTTGGGGGGAGCCGAGAACCGACCCCAGAGTGCAGGCGGAGCTGGAGATGGCTGCAAGGCTGTATCTCATCGTCATGAACTCTGGTGGTTCAGCAACGTTCAGGCGACCTGGTTACCGGGGGGCGATCATCGATCTCACGCTGGTGTCGTCAGAAACGGCGGCGCGAGTTTCTGACTGGCAAGTTCTGGAGGACTGCACGGCCAGTTATCACCAGTAGGTTAGCTTTGTGATAAACGAGGATCGTGGTGCAGGCTCGCTAGATGTTATTCAAAGGCGCGCTGCCGGGTGGAACGTGGCAAAACTCAACCGAGATTTGCTGCTGGAAGCCATGGTTAGCGCGCCACCTCCAGCTGATTTGAACAAGATCACAAATCCACCGGAGGCCAAGACACTCGTGAGCAGCACGACGAGACGGGTCAAGGAATGGTGCAACGCATGTATGCCTAAAAGGTCGGCCAGAAGAGGTGGACGTTCGTGCTACTGGTGGACTGAAGACATCGCTAACTTGCACAGAGAGGCACAGCATCTACGGCGTCTTGCACAGAGACACTAAACTCGCGAAGGCGCCAGGGCAGCTGTTGCCGCGTACAAGGAAGCAAAAAGAGTGTTGGTGAGGGCGATCAAGGTGAGCAAGAACCGATGCTGGCACGAGCTCATCGCTGAGGTTTATAAGGACACGTGGGGCCTGGGCTACTGGATCGCGTTAAAAAGACTTCACGGTACGGACCCGACGCCGCCGATGGAACCTTCCTTCTTGGAGAGAGTGGTCTCTTGCCTCTTTCCGGAGCATCTAGATAGGAGGCGGGAAGACATAAATGTAGGACAAGTACCTCACTTTACCCTTGATGAATTGAGGTCGGTGGCATTGGAGACGCCGGGGCGAAAGGCCCCTGGTCCGGACGGGGTGCCGTCCGAGGTCCTCAAGATCATAGCTGCAGAGAAGCCACACATTTTGTTGGACATGTTTATTGCGTGCCTGCGCGTTGGACTGTTCAGCGAGTGGTGGAAGATCCAAAGGCTTGTTCTTCTGGACAAGGGCAAACCACCCCCCCCCTCCCTGGTCCCGTAGTCATTCCGACCTTTAAGTATGTTGAACAATGCTGGAAAAATGCTAGAGAGGCTGATAATAACCCGCTTAAAAGGAGAAGTCAGCCTATCAGAAAATCAGTACGGGTTCCAAAAGGGGCGATCGACGGTTATGGCTGTGGCTGAGGTTCTCGAGTCGGTCAAGGAGGCATGGAAACCCTCTCATAAGACGAAGAACGTCTGTATCCTCGCGTCTCTCGACGTAAAGAATGCCATCAACTCAGCGAAATGGTCGCCAGAATGTACTAGACTACCCTGAGAAAGATCCTGGACAGTTACCTCCAGGATCGAGTACTTCTGTACGACACGAAGAATGGACCAAGAGAGAGGCGTCTGACGTCGGAAGTCGCACAGGGATCTGCCTTTGGCCCCAATCTCTGGAACCTGGTCTATGACGAACTTTTGCGCCTTGAAATGCCTCCGGGGGTCAAGCTGAGGGGCTTTGCTGACGGCACAGCATTGCACGTCACGGCGAGATCGCGAGAGGAGGCCGAGCGCAAAATATGGTGCGCGGTCGCGATAGTGTCAGAGTGGCTCCAGGATCACGGTTTTGAGCTAGCTGTAGGAAAAACGGAGATGATCGTCCTCACCAGGCAGAGATGGTTCGGGGTAAATTTTTGCCTGAGCGTTGCAGGTGGGGTAATCTGCGCTAGTTCGGTGGTGCGCTACCTCGGAGTGTGGATCAATTCACGTCTTACCTTCGGGGAGCACATCAGGAGAGCAGCCGATAAAGCCGCTAGGATCTCTGGGGCGCTTTCACGGTTAATGCCAAACGTTAGAGGCCTGCGGGAAGCCAATAGACGGCTCTTTGCGTCGGTCTCTAACTCGATCCTGCTGTATGGCGCGCAGGTATGGGCGGACGCACTCGCGAGGAAGCATGTCCGAGAGCGCTTAACTTCGTTACAGCGCATCGGATCCTAAAGAATCGCGTGTGCTTACCGCACGGTTTCCTTCGCAGCTGCTATGGTGATTCCCGTCGTGTTGCTTGCGTGGGAGCGGCAAAGGAAATTCCTGGGCTCCAGCGACGAAAGTGATAGCGACAGGCGGAAAGAAACGTTGACGACGTGGCAACAGGGGTGGGATCGGGCTGGTGTTTGTAGATGTACGCACCGTTTGATACCACACCTGCGACAATGGGTGGAGAGGGGACACAGAGGGGTAAACTACTACCTTACCCAGTTTCTCTCCGGGCGTGGCCAGTTTGATGCCTATAGAGCACCGAGAGCACCAGCAGTTGATGGACTGGCTCGGCGTGGCCCATACTCCTGAAACCATCATCTCTGAGATGCTTCGCACTGAAGAGGGATGGAGGGTAGTTGATGGCTTCGTCAGATCTGTGATTCGGCAGAAGAAAAAGGAGGTGTAGCCGCCGAGCAGGAAGAGGGGGCCCCTGAGTAATCTGATGTGAACCTAAGCTGCTCTAAGTATTTATACTAATCAGCACGAGAAAGCATTAATGAAGCGCTAGAACAAGGGTGCCTTTTTGTATTAGCAAGCGCGTTGCATGATAATGTAGGATGTGGAGTGGTAGGGAAATAATTGTTAAACATTTTTTGTTTTATTTTTAAAATCAGTTTATATTAAATGAAAAATGTACATGATTTACAAAACGATTTTGTTAAACATGTTGTTCTTAAAATACATAAAAATTTGGCGAAAAAAATTTATCAGTATTATTTGTATTATGTACTTCGCTTAACCAACCACGTCGTAGCCGGGCATCCATGTAGGCTGTTGCTTTTGTCTTTGAAGGCGTTGACATGCTGCATAATATAAATCGCTGTCTTGCTTAGATGACTTAATTGATATGCTAGTCAGAAACCATTGTTTTAATAAATGTGCTTTATGTAGGGCATAAAATAGTTTTTTCTTTTCAAAATGGTTTTGTCCGTGTGTGTGGCATACTGGAGAAGAAACTTTGTCTTCAAAGTCTTTGAAAGTACGATGCATTTGGGACAAATCGTGAACTTCACGTGTCAGAATTGAACTTATGAACTTAGCTTTATCACTTCCGTAAGTATAAATTCCTTTCAGATTCTTGGCAATAGTTATTAGATGATACTTTAAGTCATTTAAAGTACCATCACCCTCAAACCATTCGATTCCGTGGACTTCTACCGTCTGGTGATTATTATGCTTTTTTATATCAGACGGTAAATCATTAAAATTGCAAGGTGGCTTGATTATCCAATGGCCAACAACGTTTCCTTGCAAGGAAACGACTGAAAATTCTTTTGGTATGAAGTGTCTGTCAGCATTATAAAAGCCGTGCATACTAATGATGAAATCCATGATGTGTTTTGAAATTGTGAATATTTAAATTAAAAATGATTTTTTCTAATATATTTTTTATTTGACAAATCTCTCGTTTTCACCGTTGCTGTTACTACTTGTGTCACATGAGTAAAACTG